ACAAATGGACTCAAAGATAAGAATGACATGGTCAGCTCAATAGATGGAGAGAAGGCTTTTGACAAAATTCATCATGCATTTATGTTCAAAGTTCTAGAGGGAATAGGACTGGAGGGAACATATCTCATAATTAAAGCCATATACAACAAACCCACAGCCATCATCATTCTAAAAGGTGAAAAGCTTGAAGCATTCCCATTAAAATCAGGAACCAGAGAAGGCTGTCCACTGTCTCCACTTCTTTTCAGTATAGTGCTTGAAACTCTTGCAAGACCAATGAGACAAGAGAAGGAAATTAAAGGAACACTAATTGAAAAGAAAAGGTCAAATTATGTTTGCAGATGATATGATGTTATACAAAAGAGATCCCAAAAATTCTACGAGAAAAATTTTATAAATGATTGACACTTTAAGTATAGTGGCAGGATACAAAATCAATTTGCAAAAATCAGTAACCTTTCTATGTACCAATAATCTATATACCAAGCAATCAGAAAAAGAGTTATGGAAACACTCCCATTCACAATAGCCTCAAAAAAATCTAGAAATTATCTTAACAAAAGGTAGTAAAGATCTCTACAATGATAATTATAAGTCTTTGAAGAAAGAGGTAAAAGATACCAGGAGCTAGAAAGATCTCTCATGCTGATGTATTAGTAGAATTAATATTGTGAAAAATTCCCATCTTCCAAAAGTAATTTATAGATTCAGTGAAATCCCAATCAAAATCCCCATGGCATTTTTCATAGAAATAGGGGCAAAAATCCTAAATTTTATATGGAATCAGAAAAGACCCTGGATATTCAAAGCAATCCTGAGCAGAAAGAACAATGCTGGGGGGATCATCATATCAGATCTTAAACAATACTACAGAGCTATAATCATAAAAGCAGCATGGTACTGAAACAAAGACAAACATGTAGATCAATGGAACACAACAGAAGAGCCAAACATGAATGCAAGCAATTTCAGGCACCTGATATTTGACAGACGTTCCAAGAACACACATTGGAGGAAAGATAGCATCTTCAGTGAGGCAAAACTGGATCTCCACATGTAGAAGAATGAAATTAGACCCACATCTATCACCCTGCACTACAGCCAACTCTAAATGGATCAAAAATTTCAATGTAAAACTTTAAAATCCGAAACTGTTAGAAGAAAGGATAGGCAGTACCCTATAAGTGCAGGAAAGCACTTTCTAAAGCAGACATCAGTCACTCCAGAATTAAGATCAACAATCAACAAATAGAACCTCATTAAACTAAAAAGCTTCTGTCCAGCAAAGGAAACAGCCAATCTAGTGGAGAGGAAGCCCACAGAACGGGAGAAAATCTTTACCAGCTGTAAATCTGACAGAGGATTAATATCCAGAATATACAAGGAACTTAAAAAGCAAAACAGCAAGAAAACAAACGATCCAATTAAAAAATGGGCTATGGGGGGCTGGAAAGATGGCTCAGCAGATAAGAGCACTGACTGCTCTTGCAGAGGACCCAGGTTCAATTCCCAGCACCCACGTGATGGCTAACAACTATCTGTTACTCCATTTCCAGGGGATCCAATGACTTTTTCTGGCCTCTGTCGGCATTGCAGGACATGGGTGCAGGCATTACACTCATACACATAAAATAAAAAATAATAACTATTTTAAGAAATGGGCTATGGATCTGCACAGTGAGCTCTCAAAAGAAGAAATAAAGATGGCTAAGAAACACTTTAAAAGGGTTCAGCATCGTTAGTAATTAGGGAAATGCAAATTGAGCCTACTCTAAGATTTCACCTTCCCTCTGTCAGAATGACTAAGATAAGAGAAGAAAAGACAACAAACGCTGCCAGGGATGCAAGGAAAGGCGAACACTCATCCTCTGCTGGTGGGATTGCAAACTCGTGCAACCACTGTGGAAAGCAGTGTGGCGAACTCTTGAAATGCTAAAATAGACCTACCATATGACCCAGTTATACCACTTCTTGGCATGTACCCAAAGGACTCATCCTGCTGCAGAGACACTTGTGCAGCCACGCTTGTTGCTCTTTTCATAGTAGTTAAGAAATGGAAACAACTTAAATGTCCCTCAAGTGATGAATGGATAATGAAAATGTGGTACATCTACACAGTGGAGTTCTGCTCAGTGATAAAGACGAAATCATAAAATATGACAGAAGGTAAATGGATGAAACTAGAGGCTGTTATATTAAGTAACACAGACTTAGAAAAACAAGAGACACGTGCTCTCTCTCATTTGTGGATCTTAGCTTCAAATCCTTCGATGTGAGTATATATCCTGATGTAACCACAGGGAACAAGAAAATAGAAATGAACCGTGGAGGCTAAGTGAAAGAAGGAGGCTGAGAGAGGGGGATAGTAGGAGATGGGTATTATCAAGGAGGAAATGGGGAAATATCGGTACTTTATTAAGGGAGCGATGAGGGAGGGTTATTCAGGGGGAGAGAGAAGAAAGATGCTTAGGTAATGTGAAAAACTGGACAGAAATGTATTAGTTCAAATAGCATATTAAAAAATACTTCATCCTCTCTCTCCCCCCCATCTCTCTCCTTCCCTCTCTCCCTCTCTCCCCCTCTCCCCCTCCCCATCTCCCTCTCTCCCTCCCTCCCTCTGTATAGCTGAAGGCTATATAACAAAAAACACAGTGCCAGGCAGGAGACACCTCCCTTTGAGTTGTTGGTCAGGGTAGTCTAAAGAGTCCCAAAATAACACAGGCTGTTGCCACAGCCCTTGATTGCCTCCCAGAATTTGTCCCTATTGCTGAAGACAGGACAAACAGCATTCACAGGGCTTGGAGCAATTAAGCCGGAACTGACCTGGAAGCCTTCTCCCCGATGACTACCTCTCATGGTTCTAGGGGATACTTTGCAGGCTACTAAGGAAGAAAACTAATTAATGATCCTACCCAGCTGTGTAGCCTAATAAACATAATTATTGGCCCAGTAACCTAGCTTTATTGGTGTGGGAGTGGCACTTTTTATCTTGAGAGCAATCAACAGCTGTCTAATTGGATATAAGATCCACTCAATGGGAGGGAACTCCTATGTGGTACTGTAAACATAGCCAAATACACATGACTGGAGAGGTCATAGATCCTACAGAAAAACCTACTTTTGCCACATTCCTAAATAAACATAATTTCTTACTATATTTTAAATATGAATCCTCATATTTACAGGCAAGTGTGCCTCTCACCACTCATCAAAAAAGTTTCATTTGCAACAGATGGGGACTATTACAGAGTTCCAGAATTGGTCAAAGGCAGGGAGTAAGTGTCTGTGAGACACTTATTCAAAGTTTCATCCTAAGTTTCACCTGCAATGCAGCCCCTGTACCTAACACTCAGAGAACATAGTAAAACGGGGTAGGAAGAATATTAATGCATCTCTCAACTCTCACCAACGAAGCTTCCTCATGCAGCAGATGGTGATTAGCCCAGAAAGCCACAGCTGGCCAAAGTGTAGAGAATAAGAGACCTCTGAGTGCTTTCCCTGGGTAGGACACCTATATCCAACCTCTGCCTCCAAAGACTCGGGATCACTGTACAAGAGCTGGGGGAAGGTGGATGACCATGGGGAAAGAGTTTCCACATAGGTGGTCAGTTACATATGTGAACTCACAGGAATGGTGACAGCACACACAAGCCCCATGCAAGTTCAAACCAGATAAAAACCCAGCATAGAAGTGGGAAAATGGGTAAGAATCCCCATCTTAGCTGAGGGAAACTTGGTTTTCTTTAAGGAATGATGCTAAAAGGGTTAACCAGGTCCCAGTGGATGGACATACCAGAGGGTATTTGGGGACACAATATGGCTCAATAAGCCTTAATATATATGACAGAATGCATAAAATCCAGTGGAGGGGCTGTGGGGGCAAAGAGAGGGGATGGGATCTAAATGTGATAAAAATGTATTGTATGAAATCTGCAAAAATTCAATTAAAATTGACAAAAAACCTAACACATACGAAAATGATCCACTTCTGATTTTCTTTACATCTTTATTTAAAATTAGGGTTCTAATATTTTTAAGTAGATTTCGTTCCCAGCACTGTAAAACAAAAAGTTAAAGTAATGTATTTGTAAAGAGGAAATGATTCCATTTAATCAAATAAGACCGTAGACAACTGAACAATGGCCTAATTCTTCTCAGACTCTGTATCAGTCTAGAAAGTGTGGCCCTCTCTGGGTAGCATCAGTCAACACCAGTACCAACAATAAAAATATGTAGATACATAGCCAGGAAAGAGGCCAGTTATTAGGAATTTACCAACACAAGCCCAGTCCTCATAGAAGCCTGAAGTCTGAACTGATCCTTATTCACTAATCTCTAGTTTTCAAGATTTCACTTAAGGATTTTTTTTTAAATTTTGAGTCTGGGTCTCATGGATCCCAGGCTAACCTCGAACTCATTATGTAGCCAAGACTAACCTTGAACTTCTGCTCCTCCTGCCTCTGCTTCGCAGGTGCTGGGATTGCCGGTGTGCACCAGCACACCCAGCTAGTACAGTGCTCAGGGTCAAACCCTGCGTTTCCCAAGTGTCAGGCAAACTTCCTGTCTATTAAGCTGCATGCTCGGTTCCATCCAAGACCTTAAAACTAACAATCTTAAACAAATCCCTTCACACAAGTAGATGCAGAGTTTCTTTAAATTGTGCTCAGTGTGTGTGGTATGAGTCAACATCACTTAGTCTGTGCATCTTATGCATGGCAGTTTGAGGACTCTTTCAGGTGCTTAAAAAACACACACACACACACAAAACACACAAAACAAAACAGAAAACCCCTCAGCAGGTTGGCTCCGTGACTTCAGAGTATGATGTTATTTCTGTTTTGGTGGCAGAACTGTCAGAAAATCTTGAAGTCATCAATAGAGGGCAATTATCCATCTTTATTGAACAATTCACATAGGTAGCAAGTATTTGTATAGATAACAAAGGACTTATGAAAGAAGGGCGTGGCACAAAGGTTTGCATCTTTTGTTTCCTTTGGCAGTTCTCCAAAGATGTTTCCCTGACTTCTCCTCCACGAATGCATCCTTAACAGTAGGACATAAGATAACGTTTGAAGACGGAAGTGGAAACGTAAGAAATGTCGTGGAGCTCAGGGAGGCCTCAAAGTATGTTTACGTATCTGTTTCCAGTTGTGATGTATCCTGTTGTTGTACATAGTAATAAAGCTCCCAGAGCTTAGGTGTTCCAGGAATTGGCATGCCGGTTATTATGAAATGCGCATACCACTCTACATTGGAGAACTTGGTATATGATGTAAAGAGAACTGAGTAGAGGGAGAGACCAGGACAAATGTTAATTATTACATATTATGAATGATCAATTATTGATTAGAACAAAGTAAATTTACTGCTTTTCTGTTCGGCTGTGGCATATGATATCCTACACTTTCCTGGATGTTCACATGTGCACGGTCATAAATGGCTTCATTTCATAGCTCACTTACAGAATTACAAACAAAATGAAAGATTCTAAAATTCCATTTCTCTTTCTTAAAGGACATTAACAGTGTGGTGACACAGCACGCCCCCTGCATATTTAGCAATGTAAATGAATGTGCAAAATGTAAAGCTGCGTGGGATAGAATCAGAAAATAATGATACATGTATGTTCACTGATATAAAATGCAGAAAGACGCACAACAGAAATCAGCGTACTGTGATGCATGTATAAGTATTAAGACTGAGAAAAGGGGGCTGGAGAGATGGCTCAGCGGTTAAGAGCACTGACTGCTCTTGGAGAGGACCCGGGTTCAATTCCCAGCACCCACATGGTGGCTACGAACCATCCTTAACTCCAGTTTCAGGGGACTCCGAAGCCCTCTTCTGACCACAGCACTGCACGACACGGGTGCTCTCACATACATGCAGGCAATACACTCATACACATACAATAAAAATAATAAATAATTTTTTAAAAAACTGAAAAGAAAGTAATT